GTGTTAAATTTTCAAACTCCTAGAAATATTGGTCGTTCTACCTGTTTCAACGAGTGCAAACGAAAGATCCTTTTCGACTTTGCGCCGTTTGAAGACTTATTTACGCAACTCAACGGGAAATAATAGAATGAATGGATTGGCGCTCTTAAGCATTCATAGAAAATTTACCCCAGCTGTCGAAGACATTTTAAACGAACTTGCAAAAAAAAACCATCGTTTGGATATTACAGTATAAATCAATAAATTTTTAGCGTGTTTGTATACTGGTTTAATTCCCTATTTGTTGGTAAGTCATTTTTTAGTTAAATTCATCGGTTTCTATTCATTGGTTTAAATTATTGGTTTCTCGTCTGAAGTTAAAGATTAAAAAGAAGTATGTAGTCGATTCCATTCTTAATGTCATAAATATTTAGAAAGAAAAAAAAAACTTAAATATTGATTAAATGAAGTTCAAATTTTAACGGTAAATTATAAAGGATTACATTTAAGCAAAAAAGAAAGATTTACTTTACATAAAGACTTGAGATACATTCTTTTTTTTCTTTCTAAAGTCCTCTTTTGTTTATTCTTGCATCATGCAGGTACGAAGTATAAAATAAAATTAAGCAGAGATACAAAATGAATCAAGGATTTTCCATCAGAAGCTTCTGCTATCGACTTGCAGAATTAAAAAAAAAAATTTTTTCTGCGTTTGGCTAAGTGAGACAAAATGTTATTTAAAAATAAAATGTGATATATTTATTTTGTCGTTACTAGCATTTTCCCTCTGTAATGTGGTATTATATTTTTTAATTGAAAGAAAATATACAATATAATGTATAAATTATTAATATTTTGTGGTTCACTGTATATTTTGACTACAGCAGCCCTGTACATACTACAATATTAGAGTAGAATTTTTTTAAAAATATGTCTGGAAAAGTCAGTGAATTTTGTTCCATTGGAGCAGCAACGCTGATTATAGTGTGCTTAAGATGTGTTTAGTTTAAGTAATAGTTGAAATAAAATGACATAAATTTTATTTTGTATGTGTTCAAATTGTTTTTATCCAACTATTAATTAAATGAACCTTTTTTTAGGCATCAAGAATTGGAAAATTCATGATATGTTTTTCATGATGAAAAATTTCAAGTTATTTTACAAAATGTACAGTTTCTTTATTGTCTGATACAATAAATTAAGATTTGTAGTGAATTAAATAATTTTTTCTAATGTTCTTTTTATAATGAAATCATTAAACTTTTTTAGAAAGTAACTGTGGTATTCCGATTTTGCATTGCTGTAAAACTCAGCATACTCTCATAGTTTTTAATATTTCTAAGAATAGAAGTTATCAAGTTTTTTTTTTTTGTTGTTCAAAATCAAAAACATTAAAATGATAGGAAACATGTTAAATGTCCTGTATTAACCAGTCGCTAGTGGCGTAACGGCATGTGATGAAAATTATAAGTAGGAAATGGAAATATTTATATCATAGAAATTACCAATTTTACTCCTTTAAAAATTCCTATATTTACCATGATTCGATTCTTGATAGATTTAAATATAGTTGTAAATTATGGTAATTTCTGAAATTGGTATGGTTTTTAAAATTATACTCTGGGGAAAATCTCCTTATCTGAGGAAGCTCCCTTTTATACTTCTGGATGTTTTGAATGTTTATGAATTAGGAGAATGAATTTAGAATTAGAACAAAAAATATTAGAAATTAAATAAAAATTTTTGTTTTGTTCTATGTTCAGGGTGATAGTTAAAAATAGTACTATAAAACAAAAAAAATTTATTATAAAATGTTATGTACAGTGAATCAAAAATATTTTGTACACTATTAACCATATCCCAGCTATTTACATGTATGTAATTACAGTATAAAAATCCTGTAGAAATAAAATTCGAATCAGTTGACATGCAGTTTAGCTGCCATTTACATCAGACAAATGAGATTAAGTAGTTAACAAGCTATTTATGAAACAATATAACAAACATTGTGCGATTTAAATAGCCACAAAAAATATTGACATGCATCCATAACTTTAAAATGATAAATTACTGGAAGACCTTGTAATTCAACAATGCACATTTTAATATTACAACAACCGTAAGTATAAAAATCAAAAAGGCAAAAGAACTAATATTGAATATTCATTAATAGGTAGCACTATATAACAGAAGTTTTTTAAATAATGGTAAAACTAGAGCCAAAAATTTTGATTTACAGCTCACAAATAAAATATTGCAACACATCTAACCCCCATGCATCTAACAGAGCTGGAAGCTGAGTTTATATAACAAAGGATGGTTCTGATATATTGATTTAAAAAAGTTTGTCCTATCCTAAAAAGTGATAAAATCTGATAATCCATTTTGGGACTGTTAAGAACAGTGATGCATTTTATTTATTTATTTTGAAGGAAAAAAAAATACTGATTTGAATTAAGAAAACAAATCTAAGTGATACAAATGTTTCCTATAAATTTGATCTCAAATTTATCTTTGTCTAACGGTATTCAAATATTTCCATGGAGAAATTAGGTATGAAAATAAGCCTTATTTATGTTTTTTTTTACATTTAACTTATATCCTGAACAAATATTGAAATTAGCAAAAGCTAGATTTAGTTGTAAAATTAAGCTCAAAATCAGCTTAAATTGCACTATTTGCCTTTATTTTCTACACATAGTTTGTATGCATTTTATTTTATTATTTTTTTAATGACTTGGAAACTGTACATAAAGGGTAAAATCTTACAAAACATATTCAAAAGAATTGGATTTTTGTTATATATTTTCCCAATATCTAAATCATATTTTATATACAAAATATTTGATTGATTGCTCTACACAAAATCAAAATGTCAATGAAATAAAACTTTATACACTTTATGTATTGCATAAGAGGAATTGCACAGTTACAATTCAAAACATGAAATAATCTTTTCAAAATGGCATACTCTCTGTCTCAATGCCATTCTACAAATACACACTGTTGCACAAATTCTAAACACAAAACATTGAAAATATCTTTATATGCCAGCAATGAAAATGTTTTAATAGGCAGATTATCTTTCTTCATTACTATATGAATAAAACCACACTAAGCAATGACTAAGCACTTTGAAGTTTGGCACTTTTATAACAAATACTAAAATTGTTACCAACATGAATCACTGCTTAATAAGTAATTTTAGTTTGGACAAGAGCTGTATAAAAATATAATATTTTCAATATTTATTTAGAGCGCTAAAATATTTTATCAAAAACATTTTTAACAGAAACGTAAAGGTTCTTAAATACTATTTTCATATATTTTACAATTAAACTACTTGATATAACGTAAAAATGATGAAGTTTAGAAGAAGTATAGCCTTCAGTAATTAGTGTACACAGTTTTTTAGACTTTTAATCAAACTTTTTTTGCCTGCTAAGCTTAGATTAATAGTTTTAGATAATTCAATTTTACTAATAAGATCTTGAAATAAATATTTATATAGCTGTCAATGTGAAATCAGAATTATGTGGAACAAGAAAAAAATCAGATTTTAGAAAATATGAATTTCATAATAACTATTGATTAATAAACTAAATATTTTAGAAATAGGGAATTTTTGGATTTTTATACTTAACAAAATAAAAAAAAACTTTATAACACTAAATACTATGTTGGTAAACATTTAAATTTAATGCTATATTTCCTTTTTATGATTGCCATTAAATAAACTTGAATTCAGAATCTTTTTGTTACCATACATTTGAACTTCTAACTTTGAATAGTAATAGATAGAATTGTTGAACAGATAGTCATAGATTTTTCTAATTTAAAAATTGAGAATTAAAAACTGAATATTTTTAATTCTTTAATTACAAACAGAATGTTTTCTGTTCGACTGAATTGAAGCTTGCTTCTTTATTTAACAGCAATACTTACAACACTGAATCAAGCAATTAAGTGTGAATTTTTTATTTTATTTTGTTATATTTTCTTAGGGATCCCAAATTTAAGAATTTTTCTAAAATATACAGAAACCCAGAGAGCTCTTGATTAAAGCTTTGAAGAACAACTGCAGTTAATTTTGACCGCTGTATTCATGCTGATAAAGATCTTAAAATAAGTGTACATAGTTGTAATATTTCCCCCATATATATTTATAGTTTTATGTTTCTGTAATAATATTTATACACTAGCTGTTACTTCATGTCAAAAGGTAACATTTTATAAATTGCTAAATATACTGCCTATTTGAATAATAAAATAGCTTATATGCTGGGAGCTGTATTCATGGCAAGGAAAGATGAACTTTATCTTTAAAAAAAACTATACAAATAATAACGAAATAAAGCAATATTCACCATGCATTGCTTTATATAACTGACAGTATATATGCAAAGTATTTGTTCACAAATAAGTTTTAATACAAAAAGTATTCTGATAAAGACAAGATATGAGCAAAATGAGTATTTAGAGAGATGAATATTTTAAGACAAATATTCCCAACGATTGTAAAAGTATAAAAATGTAAAATAGTTTAAAAAAAGTGTTTAAAAAAATATGCTGAATATCAGCATAATAATTCTTAAAGTTCTTAAAAATTTTGCTTCAAAGCAAACATTATAATTTTTTTCTTCCCTCGCTACAGCTCTGTAAATGTAATATCATATTTATTCTCATTTTCTGCTTTAATGACGTCGATAACAAATGTGTCTTCATTGCAATAAAGGCGAACCATATCATCGTCCATCATAACTGTGATTCTGAAATTTAGAAATGAATCAAATTATGTTATGTAAATCAGTTTTAAAATAGAGAAGAAGAATGTAAACGTTGGTTATGTGTGCCTCTCATTTTATTCAAACGAACAAAAATCAGACTTCCTGTTTTCAGGGACCTATCACATTCAACAAATGACGAAACAAAGCTCGTTCTAAGTGCTTTTTTTATTAATTTATTTTATAACCCATTTTTGGATTGGCGGCTATCAATGTTCCACTCCGTAGTCTTGTAATTTTAAACATGACCCAGAAGACTAACTCCTGAATTAGGCTTTAGGATAAACTAACCTTCTTGGAGGACTTTTCGATGTGGAACTAACCTGTGTTTGCATTTCATGAAAAGATAAAACCATGAAAAGCTCCCAGTGTTAGATTGTAAGGGATTCTAACCCATAATCAGTCTACCACTGTTGATATTTTTACATCAGCACTGTGTACGGGAGCAGAATTTAAATCGATTTGTCATTGCAGGGATTTGAATCGGGGTCACTTTACTGGGAGAAGAGCGCTCGAACAGCTATGCTACTGTGGTTCTCGATCAATATATAATAAAATAAAAAACAGTAATTGAGGAAGATATATATCTGCCTGTAATTAGTTGTTTTAGTATTAGCATATCTATATTGCCCTGATTTTTTTTATAGAAATCTTATTTATATTTTGTTTTTAGCAAACACAGTTTATCACAAAATATGAAAATGCAGTCATTCAACTGTGACTTTCACCAAGAAAAATTAAAAATATGAGAAAAAAGCTCTTGCCCTTCTTATTTAGTATTCATAAATATTACACTAGTTGAAGTTATAAATGATATGTTAAATAAATGAAAAATCCTTCATTATTACATGCATATATAATACAATCTGAGATAAAAACAAGATACGATTTAATTTCTTTCCAAGCTTTTAAGCTTACCTTTGACTGACATACTTCACAAGCTTTTACGATGGTGATTATCAAAAAACATTCTGATGCACATTATTTGATGCATTATCTTATTAAAAATGCAAAGAAAAAAAAAACATTTGATTTCAGAGCATTTTCTACCATTGATAAAGATAATTAAAAAATTGTAAAATACAACAAATGGGAAATCAGAGTTATTAACTCATCTTTCTTTTCTTGGCTTACTTTCATGTTTACAAAATAACTTGGTCTAAAGAATTTAGTTTTTATGCGGAGGTATTTCACAATTAAGTACAAATCCAATACCTAGGTTTCTATCTTACGCAACAAACTTGACAAGAATAAAAAATGTCTTTTATAAATATTATTTTCCTAATTAATTGAAAATCTAACATAGCAAGCTATTAAATTTATTATGGGAAAAAAAATGTATTAGTGCAAAAAGTTAAAGAGCATCCACTCTGAACTAAGCATACCCTTTGCAGTATGAAGGTTGCCATTTTATATTAAAAAAAAAGAAAAACTAATGGAGAAACTATGATGACAGATTATGGTTGTAATAAAGGTGTATTTTAACATACATACCCTTTCTTGCATTTTTTATAAAAATTTCTTATGAGTTCAACTCCAATATTATACTTGTTCTCCATCTGTAAGTAAAGTGAATTTTAAATTTAGACAAAGTTTAAAATTTGGAAGTAGTGAAAAAGAAAAAAAAGATGTACTTACAGCTTTGGCCAGTCCATTTAGATTGGGTGGTGTGAGGTGTAGGGGAAAGAACACTTCGTCTTCTGGCCTCTTCACATAAAGTAACACTGGTTCCCAATAGGAGACGTTGATTAGTTCTAAGTGTTAATAAGTTACAATTCAACATGCACAAATAAAATACTAAAATCAACAACTCAATACTGCCCAGATTGCTCGATAAAAGTTTTTTCTGCATTTACAATATACCAGGACAACCTATTTTTGATCTATAAGGAAGGTTCCTTAATACAGTAAAATCTTATCTGATTTTATTTAGCTGCTGTAATGCAAATTTCATTAGGTGAAGAATGAATGAAAAATTTGCAGAGTTGCATCTCATTTTAATATATAAACTGAAAAAATGAACCTATTTTACAAGAGCAGGGCCGGATTAACCTATAGGCACACTAGGCACGTGCCTAGGGCCTACGAAATTCAGGGGCCTACGAAAAACTTGGGAGAAAAAAATTTGTTGACAAAAATAATTTAGCTTTAAAAACAACAAGTGTATTTTGCACAAAATTATGAAGATACAAATAAAAATATAATATTTTTCGGTAATAAATTATTTTGCAGAATCTTATGATCTAATATATTACTTTTTTGCGATTTTTGGATTCAACGAAATCTTGTATTATGCTGTCGAATTCCAAACTACGCAAAATGTCGTATTCAATAGACATAAGTGCGAGCGATGCCAAACGATCTTGATTCATTGTTGAACGCAAATAATTTTTTATCAATTTTAATCTGGAGAAAGATCTTTCTCCTTCTGCATTTGATCCAAGAATCGACAAATATATTCTTAATGCAATGTGAACGTTAGGAAAAGTATTCACAAGTTTATCCTTAACATTGTTTTTGATCGAACTAATCATAATGGTATTATCGATATCAACTGCAATATCAGCAGTATGTCGGTATTGCAGATAAAGTTTGATAAACAAATTTGTAAATTAAAATCCATATTAATAAAAATGTAAAAAAAATATGCAAGAAAATTTTAGCATATATTTTGAAAAGAGGGGAGGAGTTGGGGGAAGGAAGGGAGGGCCCAAAAACGGCTGTGCCTAGGGCCTACGAAAGGTATAATCCGGCTCTGTACAAGAGCATCCATTTTAACTGTTAATTTCAAACAAATTTGAATGAAAAACTGTTGTTTTGTTCATTCATTTATAACGTCTAGTTAGTTATTCTTTAAATGAAGCTAAAATGGCAGAAACTTTTTCGCGAGTGTGATGTAAAAAATTATAAAAGTAGCAGTTTGAAATCTTCGTTATAATTTCTAGTTAATTATTTTATTAAAGTGAGATAAACTTCCAGAAAACATTTTCTTTCTTTTTTTTTAAATTCATTTTCCTTTAGATATGGAATCAAAATATGCCAATGCTTCATTAAAAAGGCATTAAATTTCTATAAAAAAATTTAACAAAAGTTTATATTAGTTACACGTGGCAATTAATGCTAAAGAAATAACTAAAGACCAAAAGTACTATCAACATTTAGTAATTCAATAAACAAGTCAATCTAGACAGTAGTTGAGAAACTAAAACCTTAAGTTACAAGAAGGTGCCTGTATTATTCATTACAATTATTTTTATACCAGAACACATAGACTCACAAAATGTAAAAGGTTATTTTTTTTCATCCACTCTTCAAGGCCCTTTGATTCATAAATATTTTTTCCTTTAAATTTTTGTACTTTTTTACTATTAATCTCTAACTCTAGCCATGTCAACTATAACCACTGGTCTAAACATATTTTTGAGCATTACTATACATTGTTCTAAAAAATGAAGTAAAAATAATATACATTAAATTTAGAAATTTACATTTAAAAGTGGAAAGAATTCAAATTGATGCATAATTATCAAGAGAGATCAGACTTTTTTTATATATAATATATACATAACTCTCTCTCTGCCAACATAAACTTTTAGAATCTAATGGAATATAATAATTGTATTGAATAATGTTTTAAAAATATTCATATATATAAATCCATATTTTATAACAAAAGTTTTATTGCATAACGTTTACAATAAAAATAAAATTTGAATTTTTTTTTTAAATTAAAAAAAACTTATTATCTAACTGGCACCTTCATAGATTATAGCTTTTTGTTACTTTCATATTGCACAATTTAGAAATTTGTAATAAAATTTGTAATGTGCAATTTAATTGAAAAGAAATTTAAAAGTAATGTGCAATTTAATAAAGTTAAAAAAGTAATGTGCAAAAATTACCTCTATCAGGCGGTGCTAGTTTGAATTTCTTCAAGGGTGGAGAAACAGGCATTTCAAGAGGTGCTTTTACTTCCCTGTAAAAATAAAAATATTGCACATCATTATAAGTTGCTTAGTCATATTTATAAAATTAAAAATGTAAATCAAACATTCAGTATTCATTATAGAGATAAAACTAATCATTATTTAAGAGTTTACTTACGCTGCTATTGCAGCAGCAGAAGCAGCATTTTCTTCTGCAGCAGCAGCTGCTGCTGCAGTTGCTATTGTGTAGAAGGTTAACTCTGGGCCGTTCGACTGAAATAAAATTAAAAACAATATTACGAATAACTCTAATGAATTACTTGTTAGAAAAATAGTCCGAAATAATGAAATTTATTTCTATATTGTTTCATCAAATATTATATTTAGCAAAATGAAATACTCGTATCAAAATTTTAAAAAAACATTTTCACTGATTATGTCTTAATTATTCATTCTTTTTTAAAATTAATCAAAAACAAATTACCTAAACTATTAAATTCAGTCATCTTTTGTGCTGAACTTTATTTAGTAAGTTAAAATATTAGACTCTTTTTATAAAATCTGTTAGATTTTCGTTTTTATATCTTTAACAACGATTAATATACACGAGAAATATGACGTCATTCTAATGTAGGCTGACATTTACTTTAAGTTAGGTACAAACTCTTGCGATTGAATAACACTATAATTAATCATCAAAAAATTAGTTTCAGAATTTTTTTTTTTTCAAAATAAATATTAAACTATCAAAATTAAATTATATCTAATAAGAAAATGTGTTTACTTTTTCTGAATCATCATCTGGCGTGAAAAGTATTGGAGGTTTTGAAAGATCGCTCATGGAATAAAATTCTGATCTCTCACATGGAGTGTGGTACATCTCTTCAATTTTCTTCCTTCCACCTGAAAAATAATTGACAAATTGGTTAAAAAAATTTACATAACAATAAACAAATGTTAATACCTCCCAGAGTAAATATCTGCTTCTGAATATAACTCTTGAATTTTTTTATAAAATTGTTTTTGTTATTTTTACATGTTTATACTTGTTGAAAACATTTCATTGAAAGCATTCTCTTAAAAGCAGTTTCATACTCATGGCATTCATAACTTTAATTTTCATTCAATTTAAACAACTGTATAATAGTATTTATGAAATTATTTTCATTTTGATGGCACTTTAGTTTTTAACTAATCAAAGTATAATCTATTAAGAACAACGACTAAAAATAATTTTAAAAAAATTTTGTGCAAAATGAATTATATCAATACACTGTTATATCACACACTGTTTTGCTGTTAGGTTCATAAAGAAGCAAATATTTTAACAAGAATGAAATTGAAGATAGAGTTACCAGTAAAAAAAAAAAGAAGCCAATACTGTGACAAACTTCAATGACATAATAAATTACTGTGGTACTTTGGAGTCATGGGATTAGTCTTTACATCTTTAACGAGTGGATTCGATTATCTTATTTATCTGAGCTGCTAAATTCCTGGGTTAATGAATATTTTTATTTAAGCTGTATTTTTTTAAAACTTTTTTTTTGCTGTGTACGGNTTTTTGGGGGGGGGGGTCAGGAATTTATTGCTTTTTTTCAAGGTTTTAGTCTTGCTTCATTAATAAATACCATTAAGTTAGTTTGTGTTAATTTAGTTAAATTAAAAAAAAAATATTTTAAACTGTTTATTAAAAAGACTCACAGGTCTGAGAAAGTAGTATTTGAAATATATTTTTATAAATAACTTTTTCCATTTCATTGAATTATGTTCTAAAAATATTACATATTGTATTTTGTTACAACAATTTCAATGTATTATAAATTTCAAATTTTTGAGAGAGTACCTTAGTACATTATTTGAAATTTCTTATTATACCTGTTTTTAAAAAGGTTCATTGAAAATTTTAAAACCCATTAGAATATAGAAATCAGGGAAATATAAATGTCTCAATGTTAGGCGTTTGTATTTTATTCTATTATAAACTTAATATCTTGAGCTGATTTGTTAATAAAAACAATGCAATTATAAAAAAAAACAGTTTTGGTTTTTTTCAGTTGAGTGTTTTAGTTTTGAGTTAAATCACACCCCTAACTCAAGGTATGTTGAGTGAATTAAATGATGCATCTTTGAGAAAGGATACATTATTATATGAATGAAAGAAAGCATTGTTACTTACTACCTGTTGCAGTAAGTTTCCTCTTTGCGGCTCTTCTTTCTTCATCTCTTGTCTTCCTTTCAGCTCCCTTCAGCAGAGAGAAATATTTTCATTAAATTCAGTGAAATACATCTTTTCATTTTATACAACATTAACCAAATTTTTTATTTTTATTTTAACAGATAATTATTCAAAAATAGTTCATTCAAATGTTATTTTATAGTAGTCATTAATGATATTCCTGCAGACAGTGAAATATCCAAATGACAAACCGATTTGTTTTTTTCATTATAAGTAACTGATTAAATTCACTAAAGTGGCACACTTACTTTATCGCAGAAAACTTTAATTTGGCAGTAGCCTCTGTGAATGGGTGGAGCACCTTCTCGTAAATCGTCAGTCGTATCTACTTGGATGTGTAGAGGAAAACCCTGGAATGAAAAGAGTTTCATACTCATCCTTCATATACTCTATATTAATTTTACATTAAAAAAAAAAAAAAATTCTTTCTTACCTTTACACCTTTTTGATTACTAAAATCTGTGCTGAGACAGTGAACTGAAACACTAATCTGGAAGGAAATGCCATCATTATATATATATTTAAAAAAAAAAGTTATTAGGATGTCAAAGAGAACAACTGTAATATAAAACTTTATATAATAATTTTTGAAAATTATTTTATTTGCAACATAGGATATCAAAGAGTTTAGTTGTACTATAATACTTCATATGATGTTTTGAAAATTATTTCATTTGCACATTTTGATGTCAATAATAACAGTTACATAAAAGTTCATATGATAATCCTTAGAAAATTATTTTATTTGAACCATTGGGTGTCAAAGAGAGCAATTATATAATAGTACTTCACATGTTTTGAGTATTATTTTACTTGCAATATTTCAATGTCAAAAAAGGCAGTTGTAATATAACGCTTCATTTGTCAATATACTAAACATTTTATTTATGAGAGTAGAAAGTTATAAATTAATAATGGTAGACCTATAAGTTATTTTGTAATGAACTGATCTATTTTCAAAGTGGCTTTTCATAAGTTACCTTTGCAGGTCCATCTAATGGATTCCAGTAGAAGGCTATCGCATTATGAGTAACCTCTTCAATTTGACCTATGATGCCGCAACTGTTTTTTGTATCTAAAAAAATGACAGAAGCAAAAATGTATAGAAAACTTATTCGAAATAAAAATAGATTATTTGAAGAAATAAGACATAAAAATTGAATTACCCTATAAAGATAGGCAGCATGGAAGGGAAAGATAAAAGGAATTGTTTAAGCACATTAAAATACACATAAAATCGATCCAAGAGAAAAGATTTTCAGACAGAAAGTAAATAATCAAGTGCAAGAATTTTCATATAGCTGGTGGGTATTTTGGTATTCATTATAATTTTTGTTAATTTTTTTTAGAAAAAAAATATATTTGGTTAAAGAAAACACGCGTAAATTACGACGACTCATGCATTAGAGAAGATATAATTGTCCCACCACTGGAACTCTTGATATTACCTCCTTGATAATTGAAACAAAAACAACCCGTACTCAATATTATGCGACTGTCATTCAAATATTAAAAACAAAGATTTAGGTAGTTTTTAAGAAATAAAAATAGGTCCGTACTCTGTTTACCTGCATCAAGTATTCGCTGCTTTACACTGTGTTGTCGACTGTGCCAAAATTTCCACGCTTTGAGTTCATCTTCGTGACTTTTCTCCTCTCGAAATACGAGCATCACAGTTGACTGAAAGCAATTAAAAATTATTTTACTTTTTGTCACCTTAAAATAGCCTTAACCTAAAACTCGAAGTGAATGGAAAACTTGTTTTTGATTAAACTTTTTTGATTTACTTGCTTTTGATTAAAAAATGGCAGAAAATGTATTTGATGTTATTTTATCGTCAGAAGGGAGGGGNGATACAAACCAAAATGAGTCAATTCTGAGTTAAAATTATTTTCATAAGTCTGGAGTAATTAAACATTAAGCCTTCGTTTCACTTTGAATTCTGAAATTTGTTTAATACTTCAATAAAATATATGGTTTGCTAGAAAAGGGGTAACATTCACGATGACACATTTTGTACGAGTTATATAATTTTAGATTGATATATTTTTTAAAGGATACAATAAAAAAATATATTTCTGCTAGAGGTGGGTCCAAATGGCAAATTATGCAAAATGTTTGTTAAATATACCCTTTATTTATTGCTAGTTACAAATATTATTTCAGTTTATATGAAAGAGAAATTATCTCGATTTTTGTTAAAAGTTTTTAATTTTTTTTTGTTTTTTTTTTTTGTTTGCAATCCTGTTATGTTTATGTAACACAACTGCAATAAGGATTGCTCTTTACTATTGGTTGTACAATATTTAATTATTTTTTTTACGCTTTTTTTAAACACCGCAACAAATTTATAACAAGCATTTTCCAACTAAAGAGGCATCAATCTGTAAAATAAGATTTAGAAGTTCCCTATCCCCCTTTTCCCTTAAATTTGTTTTCTTCACAATTACCTCAAAGATTTGTTTTAAAATATATTTTAATTTCTTATTAAATCCGGGATGACTTTCTACTCGGCCAATCTCCAGAAAGTCTCACACAATTCTTTTGTATCTAATCATTGGAGAGCTTCTATCACATTAAAGAATGCTTTTTTTAAATAGATTTACTTACTTTGACAGTACAACTTCGGAGTGTTCTTTCTGGATCATTAATATATTCTAGAGTGATACCATAATACTGTCCTGTAATTAAAAAATACAACTTTACTATTATGGAAGCTAAACTTAATCGTATGAACTCTGATCAATTTCACTATTATAGCCACTTAAATAACGACACCTACAAGTCTTAGGTGTTGTCATTACCATTCTTGATATAAAAGTGGTTTAGTTAATAGAAACCAGTTAAGTTGACCCTCTCTGTATGTTGATCATTTATTTAAGTTGATCTTAATGATCACATAACCAACTTTTAAAAACAATTTTATTCCGCCTTTATAAGTTGACCCCTTGTCTAAGTGGATCATCAAATAGTTTTCTACAAGTGGTCACTGCACTATAATACTGCAGGTTGAAATATTTGAAGTTTAACTACTCATCTTTTAAGATAGAGGAAATTGCTAACTGAGTGCTTCAAAAGTTACCTTTATTTATATAAGTCATGCGATCATCCTCTCTTCGTTGACTGGTGGAAATGGGAGACTCTAGGAAGTAGTGAAATCCTACATCGGAGAAACTGGAAGAAAAAAAAAAGAAATTAATTTTGATGTTACTTCATCACATTTAATAACATCTCCAACTGAATAAATTTTGCTTTTAAGAGTATGCGATTATTACATTTTAGGAATTTGAACTTTGTCTAGTTCTGAATTTCGACCATATTCGTGATTCCAAGAGTTTTTACGACCAGATGGTGAGACTACTGACGTTCCCCTTGATGTTTGAGAATCTTCATCAGTTTGTTGGAGTATAGGTTGAGCTTGGGCTATTTCTGTATAATCAAATATCTGAAATATAAAATTTTTTTAAACATTAATTCAAAAATGTGTTTTTTTTTTTTTTTTTTTTTTTTTTTTTTTTTTTTTTTTTTTTTTTTTTTTTTTNCGAAATTTTTATTTACGAATTTAGCTCAAAATGAATGTTTTAAAAACGGGACATGACTTAAAAAGTGCGTTAGAAAAAATGGCACAAAACGGTATTTTTTAGTATTAATTAACGAAAGAAATTTTTCTACTCCTTTGCTTTTGAAAATTCTCGTGTGAAAATTTATTAAATTAAAAGTAAAGAAAAAACAAAAAACGTTACGAATAATTAGTATTTACTTCTTATATACAACAGTCATAACAGTACCTTAAAAACATAATTCGAATGGTATGTCCATTTTTTCAAGCATTTTTATTTTGTTAATTTTATTCTCTTAATTATCTTATCTTAATTGAGTTATTTTTATTTCCTTAAACGTATACTTATAGCTATATTCATTATCCTAACTCCCATTTTAAAAATATGTCCATTTTCTTAATGTTGAGGCTATTTTTCAGAAGGAAAAAAAGGAATTTAACCGACTATTCTAATTATACATCAATCTCATAAATAAAAAGACGGGACCTGAACACCTTAAATCAAATAAGAATTTGATAGTTGAAATATGATTTGACGAGTTAAAATGTAAGATTAATATATTATTATTATTTTTTAATTGCGCGAATGTGTGCATTCATATTTTGAGTTTGGGTGGTTCTCGTAAATCACGTCTGGGCAGATTTCTTTAGCTAGATCAATATAGAATCCTCAAGCTCTTGGATTTTCGCATTTTAAATACAAAAATGAAAGTGTTCGAGAACTTTCGAGATACATGCGTCATTCGATTTCTCCACGTGTCTGCAATCTTCTAGATAGCCTTACGACCTTCTAATGATCGAAAAAAAAGAATGTAGTGGGCCTAAGGCTAGTTCATTGACGTGAAATGCTTGAAGAATATGAAATTTAAACTAGCTCCGCTTTTACCAATACCGGGTCTCAGCATACAGCAGTTCAGATTTGTTTACAGCCTTCTAAAGAAATTTGTTACACGCTTCAGGATTTATTACTTTACAAGCATAATATATCAAGAGATTTATTATAGATTTTAAAGATTTAACTTAGAAAATGTTTTAACTTCAATTGTCAAAATTTTGTAACGAAAATTAAGCTATTAAGGGATTGGAGAAAATTTATGTTATTTTTAGTTAAAAATTATCTGCTGAATGTAAAAATTTGTGGGTCATCTAAACGACAAAAAAAAAAAACTTGTAAGATGGAGAAGAAATTGAAGATGAATGTGACGAACAAAATTTGAAATGTACCGTGGACGACTCGCTTATTTTCTATATTGTTTCTCGGAAATTGCAGAACTTAACATATTCGTTGCCGATCGAGCACCCGCAGATTTTCTATTGTCGACAAAATAATTTGAATGGAAAAGGAATCTGCGGAGCTAATCAGAATCATCCTTGCTTGCTTTGAGGAAAAACAGCCCAATTTTTTTTATACTAAAAGAGAATTCAAACACGAGATACAGAAACAGTAATTGAACATAATGGAAAACACATTATTGATGAATAAATACTAGTTTTAGGGCTATTTTATTTAGTTTCAAATCAGGTGTGAACTTTAGCAGCGATCCGATATATTAGATTCTTGTAGAGTCTATTTCTTATGCACATATTTTTTTTCTTCCCCAAAATGAGTGTTAAACACTTCTGAAATCAGAAATAAAATCATTAATGAAAATAATCATATCTTACTTGTTGCAAGGAATCCCTTGGAGTTACAGTAGTTTCTCCGATACCAGAATCAGGTGAAGGAAGATCTACGGTTAATCCGTGAGGGGTAGGTTTGTAGGCTGCCTGCTGCCTAATATACCTTTCCACGGTTCCATACGCAGTACCATTATCTAGTGTGGCTTCTGGATACGCTGCTAACTGTCTGACTGCTTGCACATACTGCTGATCAGTAGTAGATTGTGGTAGATACTAAGTAAAAGAATTTAAAATATTTCAGAGTGACATCTACGAAAAATATATGGAAGCAGAGAGTGGAAGACCATGTCCATTGAGATTTAAATGAAGTTAAGGAAACCAGCTTTCAAAAGGTTGTACAAGCGTCCTAATGTTCCATATTTATAGTGAGCCATAAACTTAGAAAACTGAGTGTTTCTAAAATGTCACTCGATATGTTCTTCCACCCAAGCTTTTCAATTAAAAGATGCGGAATGAATATAAATGTACACACCTCTCTAAAATAATCTGTTGGAGTAAGCGTATAAGTATTGCTGGCCGATGTTGTTTGGACCCCATACTGAGGTGGAGGAGCTACCGTAACCACAACATTAGTCAGTACGCTGTATTGACCAGTGCCCAGAGGTTCGTATGCAGATGGAGAAAATTCTCCTGTGGGATATGTGGCGCTCTCCAAAGGGATGCCAGTAGGAGAAGATTCATCCTGCACGAGAAATTAGCAAATTACAACTTCATACATTCATTTAGTACTTCATACACTTATATAATTGTATACATTCATTTAATTTTGAATAACAATGCAAATGATTATGTAGTTCGAATTATCCGACTTACGTTCTGAAACAACGTACTAATTTTTTAAAGAAATAGCTTGAAACATCACATCAATACAAGGATATTTTTTCAGGATCAGCAGTGGTATTTAAAAAACAGGAGGGAGGGGTTGGAGTATAAAGAAAGAAAACAGGAGAACTCGTAACTTCTACACTAGATTTGATACACATTTCAATCATAGCATATTTCTCATTCCGATTAAGGTCCTTTTGATCTTAGAGTTTATTTGAAATAACAATCATGAACATACAATATTGTCAGAAGATATATAAAGCATTTTAAATAGACGGGACGAATCGTGCGAAATAAAACCGGGCTGATCTTGAAATGTAGGGCCACAGGTTCAGAACTGACAAGGGCTCCCTGGTCGTTACTTTAGACCAATTTTACATGTTGTTTAATAATGAAGTTTTTTTTAAAATCATTTATAATATAAATAAATTACGATATAATAACAAATTTGAATTGATACTTATTTCAATTTTTGCTAATTCATAATTATAATAGACAATTCCTAAGAAAAAAGAACGAAAATAAATTATTTGCTTCATTTAGGGGACCACACAAATATGAGGGCACTAGGCTTAAGCCTCTCAGGCCTTATGATAAATCAAACATTGAATCGGGTACTGGCTATAACAGATAGCGAATGTAATAGCCAAACATTCAATCTCACTCTCACTGGTAATTATTTTACACGTGAGTTCACAAAATAAATAAATGATGTTGCGATACATTAACAAAGTATTACGAGTTTCGAAATAAAAATTTAGGAGCCTCTTTTAGGTGATGCAATTTTTCCCAGTCACCTTTCAAGCCAAACAAAAAAACAGAAGGGAAAAAAAAATCTCGTAACATGCGTGTACATATCTTCCTGTATGCATTTAATTTAAAGCAATTTTAAAAGAAATTGTATATAGAGTGGGTGTATTATAGTAATAACAAGGTTCCACTATAAAATCGTGAGAAGATTTGGATGCGGTTTTGATTGCGTTTTTTGACCCAATAGAACTTCATTCTTCTTTTAACACCCAAACGAATTCCTAAATTGTTTCTCTATAGCCGATTTAATACTTATTGTTCCCATTTTTTGCTTTTTATGACTCACGATTTGAATCAAAATATGAATAGCAGTGCTTAAAAAATTTCTATGTCAAAAAGAAAAAGTGAAGGCGTTTAAAATTTTCCCAACTGCTCAAATTTATTTAAACAATAAATAATATCATTTAAGAGCTGCAATCAAAAAGCGTTATTGGAAAAATACTTCGGATATCCAGATATTAATTTCGTGATATGAATTACAGTTAAATGTTTCAAAAGGATTAAATATTCAAGGCCCAAAAGGAAGAGAAAAACGTTTCTTTTATATACAATTTACCATCTCTGTTTGCTATCAGGATTCCCACTGGTTATGTGTATGGGAGTGGAATTGTCACGGAATTTTATTTTGCCTCTTAAAAGCAGGGAACAGTCAGGAAAAATTGCAATTTAAAAAATAAAAATAAATAAAAATATTTTAAAAAAGACTGGAAAACTTCTACATTATACTTGAAAAATAACCAGTCCCAGAATTGTCAGTAACAGTTATTGATATTCGAGTTAAATAAATGTACTATCAATTACAATTATTAGTTGTAAAAATTTCCCATTTTAGTGAAATTTCTATGCTCCTATCCTCTTTCAGTGATATTTCTTTGCTCACAAAATCTAAGATTTGACATTATAAATAAAAAATCAAAATTGTTTGATGAAAAATTGCATGGTATAGATACGGTATGGTTCGGGTTTTCATTGAGATTTTTTTTTATATACCTGGAAGAGTCCGAGAATTCTGTTTTAAAAANCCCCCCCCCCGAAATTGAGGGGGAACCCTGACCATGTAGAACATTTCTTCAGTTCCGATTTATGGAAAAGGAATGAACACTTTGTATACACTTGATTTTATAAGCCTGAGAAACTAATAAAACCACCATGTGAAATATTATCAATTTGTATATCAGGCAAAGAATTTAAAATTTGGTTAAAAGCGAAATCATTGAAAGTGAAGCTTACATCACATCTCTTTTTTTCCCCTTTATATGAAAGCAAAAGTCTGTCTTTATGTTCTAATAACCCGAGAACAGGAGAGCACCGATTTTATTAAAAAAGTTAAAATTAACTTTTTTTGTTAAATAATAAAGATGAGTCTCACACAAGAAATTTCTAACACAAAGTATACCTGTCTACTCATTTTTACAACGTTTTATTAAGCAACTTTTATGTGTATGGGAATCTTTCCATCGAAATTCTGGCAATTTTCTAACTAGCATTCAAGTCTCTACTGGATCTCTGAATTTGAAAACAGTACAAGTTTCGATCATTTACTGACCGCCGTAAGCAGAATTTATCCCTAAGTAGAATATATAGTCAATCGCTATACTTTCTGACTAAATAAACTGGATGACAATAATAACTGAAAAGGAAATTTGCAATAAACAGTTTCGATCATTTCCGACTCATCATAAGTATTACCATATTGCTGTCAAAAGAAATTTTTAGCTAATACAAATTTCGACAACTTTCTAACTAGCTAAATTACACAGATTTAAACTAGAACAATGTCTGATATTAGTTCAAGTTACTACTGTTTTCTAAATTTTATCAACAATTGAAATTCCAACCACTTTCCGACATGAACTAGCGGGCGCAAAACTTAAAATAAATAAATAATTCCCTTTGCCCCATGTTTTTAAAAGTGAATCGTTACGAAAGTGATTTTCAATTTAGGTCTGACACATAAAATTATTTTATACTTTTCAGTCTACATGAAAAACACAGTTTAAAATTTTTATTTAACTCTATTATTTAGTTTTCAATCATTTTGTAAATATTCGCGCAATAAACGATTTCCCCAAGTTTAAAATTTAATTAGAAAAGAGTTGGTGATATATTGCGTCGAATTGATTTCTCAAATAAAAAGCTCTTTCGAAAAAATAGTTAGGCAAACTTTCTTATATTATTTTAATTATAATTCACACAATGAGTGAATAATATTGTGCGCCAAGAATTCGCACAAGTTACCTTTTCTCTAGTCAAATCCTATTGAAGTTTTTTCTTTCTTTCTTTTTTTTTTACGTTTTGGGAAAATAAATACAAAAATCAATTAGCATCGTTAAAATAAATTAATTTTCTTATAATAATATAGAAAAAATAAGTTTTCAAACGAAATTCGCATTATCTGCGCAAACAGATTTTGAATTAAATATTTTCAACACCAGGAAATACGAAATTAAATTTTAATGGAGAAAATAGTTTAAATTATAAAAGTTTATTCACATTATAATTTTTTGAACTGAATCAAATTCAATTCCTAAAATATTTTGATTTAAAACGTTATTTCAAACATATCATTAAGAAAAATTATTTCGGACATTAATTTTAAATAAACCCACGACAACCTAGATATGGCTCATTCTCTCTCTCTCAATGTATCTAGGTCAACATAAAAGAAACATTCATTTTAAACCACAACTATTACTCGTATCAGCATTTAAAATTTTTCAACTAATTAAACTGTGATAAATAACTGTAGTTATGTTTAGAACTTAAATTATCCGCAACCTATTTTCAGATTGTATGTTAGTTCTTTCACTCACTTTTGCCTGAAAAAAACTAGCTATTTTAAAAATTCATGATGTAAAGATTAATTCTTACCCACGAATGAATTAGAATCTTTGTACTAACATTTGTTTTAGCGATATTTAAGGATGATTTTTTCGTCTTTGTATTTTGGTGATAGTTGATATTTTTAATGATTTTAAAATTTTTGTGCTTCTTTTAATATATATATATATATATTAAAATATAAAATTGGAACGTTCCCCGTAAAACAGCATTTTTCGTACTAATCAACTAGATAACTATCAATTTCCAACCAATTTGATTGAAAGAGTTATTTGCAGGGCAAGATTTCATTTTTCTAAATGAGTAGAAATGAGTTCTAATGCTGAAAATGCTACTAGCAAAATCAGGGTTTGAACAAACATGTTTTTAATGTGGTATCGCGATATATTTTGTGACGTATAGAATCGCAACACATTGTTGTAAGGCTTATTGCAATAAAAAGATCACTCAATAGTAAATATTAAATCTTTATACTCTTATTAAAATTTAAGTACTCAAATGTGTGATTACGAATACGTTGTTATTGATGACATCGTATTTGAAATATCGAGATTTTAAGAACGATGTGGAAATTGCCGGGCCGGAAGTAAGACAACTGCAACAACTGTCGAAAAACGATTTGAAAATGACATTTATTTACGATGGCATAGTCGCTAATTGGATACGCCAAAAAGTGATTAGTCAAATTTGAAACTCACGTGTAATGTCATCCATATTAAAAATATAATTTAAAAAACCATGTGAAAAAAAATCGTAAAAACATAGAATAACTGCCGAGAAAATAGTCTGAAAATGATGCGGATTAAATGATGGAATTGTCGCAAATAAAGCACGTCAAAAAAGGGATTACTCAAATTCGAAATTTGGGTGTAGAAATTCCGTATTAAAATTTAAAAAAACCAAATTAAAACGGCGTAATAAAAAAAAATTTAAAAAAAAAACCCATTGAAAACGAGGTGGCTTTACGACGGAATTGTCGCGAATTGAGTACATCAAAAAGCATGAAAACAAAAGATGGAAAACGATTGAAAATCGAGACCAATCAAGTTACTAGCAAATTTTTTTTCTATCTAGCGTTTGATTATTTAACTAGCAATTCGCTACTTGCTGATTGACGAATCGTGCCCTAATAACGAGGATTTTTTTTCTTTTTTTTTGGCCATATATTGTCATTTTGTTCAAGAAAAAAAAACGATTATCCTACGTGCTGCGAAAACTACATCACTACAAAAATTGTTAAGTTTTAAATAAAGAAGATAAATATTGATGGAGTTATAAAGTTGCGCCTACTCATATTTCTTAAAAAACAAAAGTTTTACCTTATCGTTAAACTAACGGAAACTAAATAGATGTTATCTAAACTATTTAGTTTAGTCAAGTACATCAGTAAATACTGTAGAATTACTGAAGAAGCTCGAGTAGAATATCTGCCATTTTAGTATATCTCAGTAAAGAAGACTAACATTTTTGTGTAGTTTTCTAAATTTGGAGCAAAACATACAGAGTAATGCAAACAATAAATATTTTTGTTTCTATTCATTACGATTCCTAAATTCAGAAAGAAAAAAAAAGCCGTTTCGAGGAAAATCACGATTTCGTTTTTCTTTAAGTTTGGCCGTACTTCAAAAGGCATTTGTCGAAACTTTTGCTGGGCAAGCTGGTAGTATGTCAGTTATTTTTACATCATAAATTGAAATGGCCCTTTTTAATGTTGTTCATGGAAGAAAATGCACTGCAACCTATTTCAAGGAAAGACTCGTTCTGCAAATTCATTAAATATTCTTCTTGACAATTGTTTATTTAGATGAAAAATGGTTTGTGTGTGAGAGAGAAAAGAAAAAAAAGTATAAACCAGACACGTTTGAATAATATTGAAGAGGTCAAATCAGTAAGGTTAAGTCAGTCCAATAAATCAGCAGCGTGCCGGAGCCCTATAACCTCAATAATTTATCCTAGTTTTCGATAATAAGGTTAAAATAATCAACATTTATTGATTGACCATAGAATTCTCAGTCTGGGGATTTATTATTTTTATATTCTTGTTAAACTTTGTAAGCCTATTGTTCATTATAAATGGCCATCTGAAATTTGCAGTTTCCTGAAAGTTATTGCATCGGAAATTCAGAGGAAAAAATCATTCACGTAGTGGAATTTAAGCGTAAGAGTTCCGATGAAATTCAATTAATAAAATAGTAGAATCAATTTAAGTAAATCATGTTACTAAAACCCATTTTTCAATTTGTAAATTTAAACAATTCCATCAGCAGGAAAAATATACTGAGCTAAAATGGATGACGATTAAGAAAATCTAGTATTTGTTTAATGAAAATAATTTTTAGAGGTTTAACAGAATGCTAAGATACGATGAAATTAAATATGGAGTTCAAATGGTAAATAAGCTAAAGTCCGTTATACAGCACTCATTTTATCATATAATGGTTAATATAGCTTGAAAAAAGGCGGAAAAGGGGACATTATCATTGGGACATCACGATGGAGTCATACTGTTCCAAAATGTTACTGTACTGTTGTTATTATTATGATATAAATAGTGTATAGTTACCACCATTTTTGGTGCTGAGGTGAACTAAAACATTTTCACAGTGCACTTTTTCACTGCTATAGTTTTATTTATTTATCCATTTTTTGGTTGTTTACTGACAGCACATATTTTTTATGCGCATTAAAATCGATTTGAGGGCTTCATTGCAAAAACATTTCATTTAAAAAAAAAAGAAGCAAGACTTTTTTTTAGTAAAATAACTGCCTTCATTCTTTCAAACAATTGTTATTTTGTCAATTTCATATAATTTCTTGTACGATAACTATAGTTCTGTACTTGAAAGTGTACCTCAACAGCAAAAATGGTGGCAACTATACAACAGTACCTTGAGAGATCAATTGGAGAGAAATGCAAACATTTGGATAACTTTTCGAATAGTTCGGGTTTTCTTAGATTAAAATAATGTTGTCTCAATCACATCCTCTCCATTTCATCTGTAGTTAGTTCGCATCAAACTTGTAATCTTATAACATCTTGGTACTAACAGGGACGGAGCAGGATATTTACAAACATTAAAAGCGATAAGTTTTTTTCATTAAATTGTATTTTTATATTAAATGTTTCCATAAGCAAAGCGTTCTATCTCAAAAATCTAGCACCTTATTCTATGCTATCACTTTTAGAAAGGGCTTGGGGTAATTAAACTGTAAACGAGGAAAGTCATTTTTCAAAAGAGCATTTTTCGGTTTTTAAAAAAAAAAAAAAAAAAAAAAAAAACCTCCCATATCTTTTCATCGGCAATAGAATGTTTTGGTGTATCCATTGGAAATGCCGGGAACTTGTGAAATACCTAGCTGGAAACAATCCTAAGGAATAATTTGGTGTAAGCTGCGATTTATCACTTTAATTTTCGCTTTTCTGTAGATATACCCTCAAAAGGTTTGACCTTCTGTCCTGAGGGGAGATCCTCCTTAATAATTTGATGTCGAATAAAACAGTAGAATGTTTGAAGTAACAGCTTACGTGTCTTGAAGCCTCGACCATTTCAACGTCCTGGTTATCCCCATCGTCTGTTTGTTTGACTTCGACAGCTGAGGGTGCGAGTAATGGCAGAGCTTGAGAGTTCTCTTTGTCATCTTTTCCAGAGTCATGAACTCCGTCTGGCACTGGCTGTATAACTGAATTTTCTCTGTCTAACGAATGTACAATTACTTTATTACCGTCACCCCTGTGGAGATAAATGGCTGTTGGAGTGGACAGGTCACTCGGTTGTTGGACCGGACTTGGCACTGGAGATGTGTCTGTGTGGGCAGTGATTAATTCACCTTCAGATGGAGCGACAGCAACGCTGAAATAAACAAATGAAGAATTGTTTTGAGTATTGAAACCTAGAATCATATCAAGCATTACTGTTTTAATAGCATATGGAGGAATGAATCCAGTGGATGACGCTTTTATTTTTTTAATCAGGTTTTTAAAGTATATAAACCTTTTTTTTTTTTTTACTCTAGATTAAATCAAACAGTGCTATAAATGATATAAAAATAATTAAATAAAAGAAAGTGCTTATTATAATGTCTTGTATGCTTTTAAAACAATCTTTTGGAGGAGAGGGTGAGAAAAAATTACTAAGTTATTGATTAAGAATATTTTATTGACAAAAGCCTCTTGCATTGATAAGAGGTACAGCGATTTATGTCAGAGGTATCCATTCCAACTTATGAGCACATTCTAAAATACCTGTCTGAGACTATCATGGGAATTTGTTAAAGATTTTACTTTCTCGTAGCATTTTTTTTCCCCCTTTTCTTCAGGACAAACGTTTTTACGCCGTCACTGAAGATGTAAGGACGCCGGGCGGGGAACAGATCTTTAAAGTTGAGGATTCCTGCTCTACGCCTTGCTAAACTAAAAATGGTTTATTTTTACAGTTTTTTAAAAAAAAAAAAACAATTTTTAACAGCAAGCACTGAATTTCGGAACATTTTAATTTTGTTTCAACACTTCAATGTAATCCTATTGAGGCATATCAACTGGAAAATACATAGACAAAAGTAAATAAAAATAGTTTTTTTGGATCTATTTTTTGGCTCTATTTCTTTTATCTACTTTGCTATTTTTTTTCTTTTTCTTTTTTAAACAAGCCTATTTGCAGAATAATATAATTATATATAATGAATGTTACAGTTAAAATAAATTCAGATTAAGAAACTGACTATTTTTAATTTGGCAATGATTTTGTCAACAAAAAAAAAGTATTGTTTTTATTAAGTAACAAATGAGGACAGTTTCTTCAAAAATTTTACTTCGCTTTAAAAGTTCACATGAATGAGTATCTTAAAATATTTTATGCAATCCAAAGTTATGATTTACCAGTAAAAGCGTTTTAAAATTTAATGAAAGGAAATTTGAAGAAAAAAAACTAAACTAGAATTTCTTTGATTAAATTGTAGAGAAACAAAAAGATTTGTTTAGGTTTAGTCTTAATACACACGACATCAATAAGCGCTTCTGAGAATTTAAAAGTATTGTGCGAAAACTTGAAGAATAAATAATTGAATTGCTCTTTGCATAAGTAGGATTGTATACATTTTACATCCAGAAGTGTGGCTTACATAATGTTTTTCAAAAATGAGGTATACAAGTTTGTTTTAATGTGTTCTAATATATAATGTATTAAATTAAAATTAACTAGCGAAAAGTTTTTTTTTTTCTTCCTCGCAACATGCTCTTGAGTCATGCAAAAGCATTTAAAGATTACTTTAATGGACTATGTTTTAAACTCAAATTGTTTTATAATTGATGAAAGATGATGGCCACACAGCAATCAAATGTTACAAAACGGCGTCGAGAGCTCAATCAACGTATCATCGGAGCGTGAACACTCGTAATTCACGCATTTACGCAACTCCCCATCTACGCAGTTCCAACACCTCATCCATGCGGGATCACCAGGAAACAGCAAGGACATTTCTATTTTGGCAACAATCACCCATCGCAATTAGTCACTTCCGGTAGGACAATGGTCGATGGATGATACGGGCGGTAGTCTCCAAAAATAAAAACGCATCCATAAAAAGTTAACAATTTTTGCCCATTAGCCTGCTATGAAAGGCACCAGTGATTCCCTGACTTTGATCAGCCGGGAGAGAATGAAATAACTATTGTTACTAATAAAAATAAAAAGAAGAAAAATATTGGATCGTTAGTATTCTGAGTCTATTGGGCTTCGACCATCGAGGCGTGAAGGCAGGCACTGGGAAATGCTAGAGTCAATCTTTACACAACAGAAAGTACACAAAAGACTAGAACAATAGTTTTTGAGAAGTGGATTAAATGACACGGTTTATGTCATCGAACGTGCCTGGATTACTGTACGGCCATGGATTGTTGATAACATTAGAGATTCACTGCGTTGTCGTTTTTAACGTAAATAGTAGTTATTTGTTTCTCGTAAGATATAAATAGCGTTATTCGGTTACAGTTATAAATCGCTTAAGCTACTTATGGTATTTTTGCTAGTTAATTGAACAAAATAATAAAACTTTTCCGCCAATCAAGATTTCATGCATGAAAAAAAAATACTATACATATATAATAGATTTTGGCAGTTAAATATTAATTCCGCTCATAACAGGCAGAATATGAGTATCGCATGAACAGGAAAATGTTTCATGGCTGATGACTATAGCATAAACGACATCTTTTGAAACGAGTTAATTTCTTCTTTAGAATGCAATGGCGGAGTTGAAATGAATTCCGTACAATGATACAAAAAGAAATTCATACAATCCCATACAGGAATTGATTAAATCTTTTCTTATTATTATTCTTAACATAAGTTAACGTGATTAAATTATGTCCGAGCGCCCTTAATTGTGGTGCATCAGTACAAATCGGTCATGTGGAGAAGTATTAGGTCCCAATTTAACCATGGTTTTATTCTATTAAAAGATGGAAGAAAGTGATCAAGTGATCACCGTGGGAATGGAAAATCAACGAAATAGTTATTTTATCAAGAGTTATTTCATTTTAATCTTGCAATTTTTTAATGGTTATTAACACTAAAAAGACTGAAACTTAGTATAGACCTATATTGCCCAAAAGCAGTCAAAATGAAATGAAATGATGATAATGAAAGAATAACAAATGATAATGAAAGAATAACTTATGTGTAAAGAAATTTGTTTAAAATTAATTTTTAATATTTTTTATATTATTTACAGTTATAACAAAATATTAGTAAATATTAGCAATAAAAAAAATTATATGCTGTACAAAAAGTTACAAAATTCTAAGAAATTGTGTCGTTATATACATCATTGTTTTTCTAATTGAAAAGCAGTCAAAATGGGCATCTAGAGTTTTTCGGTTGCAGGATTTTTCTCTCAGTAATGTTCGTTTTCGTAACAGTTCTTCGAACAACAGTTCTTCGAAAATGTATTTGCAGTATCGCTGGGGTTGCTTCATGAAGAAATCAGAAGTTAATACAGTATCTGACTTAGCATCACTTTTAGAGAAGCTCATACAAAATAGTGTACCCTTCCCTTGCTTCGATGATTGTTTACTTCATCAACAAATCGTTTGACCGACACCTCTTCTTCGACAAATCATTTCAGGCTCTGCTAACAAATCATGGTATGCTTTTATGCAATTTTTGAAGCAAATGAATGCAATTCAAATAGGTACCCCATTGGATTATCAGCTACTTTTGTCACTAGCTTGACTACGACCCTAATATTTCCACTGATTTTAAAAATATTGCAAAAGGTATGAAAAAGAGCAGCTTATAAAAATTGTTAGAAATTTGTCATACTTTAAAACAAATTTTTCAGCATTAACCTATTTATTTTTATTCGTTTATTTTTTCTAATTTTATTAGGTACTGGTTGCGGCGGACTTCACTCTTTTATTATCAGATGTATAGCAGATATGTTTTAAAAGGAACTAAACGTTAACATACAAATATTCATTAAATTTAACTTTAAAATCATGATACTCATAAAAGCGCTTCAATCTTTGAATATTTTGTTATTTGCAACTTTGAAAAAAAAGACATTGAAGTACTTAGCTAATGACACTGAATCTTATTTTCATCAAGTTAGTAAAATAATTTTTAAGGCCTCATTTATTTAAATGTAAAACTGATTAGCAAAAAGTGAACTGGTGCATGAATTCATTACACAATAAGTTCAAATGCATTTGTAAATATGCTTAAAACTTTGGCCATTTACAAATATAATCCAGAAAAATATAATGTATTTTCGTTCATCATTTCAATTCGCAACGTAGTTGACTGTAAAATGTGCAAATTTTCGTAACGAATTCAACAATGTATACTTTAATCGGTAAGGCACAACTCACGAATTCAAATGATACAAAACTTTATAATTACAGATAACCATTTAAAAAGAGAGATATCAATCCTGTTGCGTGCCTCCAGCAATATACAATATTAAACAATAGTTTCACGTACGAGAGGTCTTTGCGAGGGGCTGCAAGGTCATAAAACTGACAAGGTAAAATGAGGATAAAAAAAAAAATCCAAGAGGGACTGGGGATAATGTGACATCGTTAGTTGAAAGAAAGAAAATAATCTTGTCCACTCTAAAAGGTAGGACATGTTGAAAATATCTAGAATGGAATTGTGGAGGAAGAAAATGCATGGGAAGACGAGAGTTGTTTCAAAATCTCTGGTTATTGCACCTAATAGTATGTCGAAATATGTCCCTCATTCTAAGCCATTGCCATTTTAAAGATTATTAATGGGGCTTTGATTTTGTTACCCTTTCCCCCCGTAACGTTTTGATTTTTTTTCTTTCTAAGATGATCTTCAGCAGTATTAACGTTTGAATTTGGCTGGAATTTTATTGTACGTACAGGTATATTCTAGCTTCGAACATCTTCTGAACACTTAAAGTTTAAATTTCGATTGTACCTTTCGGGATTCTATAAAATTTATTTGAATAAGGTAGTGAGTTTCAAAGCTTTACATTATCGAATTTCCTAATAATTAAGAATATTCTTCTTCATGACATTACACCCATTTTATGTGGCTATCCCAAATAAGTATGAATATCAAAATATCAAAAAATAATTTTTAGATATTTATCAAAAAATAATTTTTTTGCGCCTTCTTAAAGTTCTCTGCTTCTAATTATTTTACTGGTACATTAAAAAAAACTTACCAAATTACGATGTGTGAACATAAAATTTAAAAATAATAACAATTATAAAATTTAAATTGCAGGCAGCATAAAGTTACACACTAAAGTTCTGATAGTTAAAGTGTAAAGTAACTTTATAATTTTAAATGTGCTTTAATGCACATTAAAATTCGTTTTAATGCACTTAAATGATCCACCTAAACGTTTATGAGCGGGTACTCGAACAAAGTACCTGCACAAAAAAACCTCGAACAAAGTAAATTCAGTTTTTGCCACACCACTGTGATGGTCTTGATAAATTAAAAGCATATTTCTTGAAGTTACATTTTCGAACTCTTGACTCGAACAGACCTTCACTACCCATTGACTTTAAAATTACAATCTTTGCATCAATTCCCCCCCCCCCGGCAGATTTGGATTTTTGACTCTCAAAATATGGGGGTAGCTGCAGTCTGGAAAAAATGATCCCAATATTTATATAGGAGAGCAGACGAAAGTTTGGACTCATTTTGCGTATTTCACGAAATGAAGTTCTTAAGTAACTTGAAAAATTTTTGCACAAAATGATAGAATATACGCTTATCTACGGATTTCTATTTCTGATTTATAAGACTGAAATGCTATCAAAGTTCGAATTGTTGAAATTTTAATCCTCGCGAACATAGTTTAAACAAATCGATAGCTACGTTATTTAATTATTTTGTACATTTCATTTAGGAACTCTGGAAACACAAATGTTTTATCTCGTGTTCTTGAAACGCTATTCCAGGATTTGAATCGTGTTATTAAAAGAGAATAATAAACATTATAAGACCTCCCAAATTTTTTGAAAATCACCCATTCAAAACATTGCCCATAGAGATAAATTTGGTCATTAAAAAGAAATTAATATGAAGAAAAAAAAATCAGAATATGAAGTGGACTGAGACAAGTTTTGATATGGTCTTTTTAATTTAATTTCCATACTTTTTTAAATTCTTTTTTAATTCACTTAAAATTTATTTCGAACAGAAACAAATATATCCACGCTTCATTTAATTGACAAACAAGCATTCTTAGACAAAATAACATTTCGAAAACACACATTTAATTTTTTTAATCGGTATTATACCTCTTGTTAAATCTTTGATTAAACAATAAAAAAGAAGAAAAAAAGGAAAAGAAAATATTAAAAAAAAAAACCTTGGCTTATAAGTAAACGTAATTTTTCGTTTTTTATCTTAAGACAATGACGCTTATTGTAACAATTTAATGTTACAACATAATTGAAAAAGAATAATAAAACATTTCCTTGATTTCACCCGATCCCTTGTGTTGCCCAAGGAAGCTTGAAACAAAGGAGTGTCACAAAAAAAAAAGCCACTTTTGATCCAAGGTTCATAATCATTCAAAGAAACCATTCAGCCATCCATCAGACAGATCATATACCCCTTGTAGTTGAGTTTACAAACTAAATGATAGGGTATATTTTAAAAGCAACTATAGGCGTTTATTACTTATTTTATTGAAAGTAGTCAATTTTCGTTAGAATTATTTCTCGGTAACTATTTAAGGGAATATTTTTACAAATTTTGGAATTGCATACAAAAAGTTACGCAGTTAAATCACGTTAACATTTTTGTAACTCCTATTTTAATTCAAGGAATGTTGGTACAGTACAGAACCCATTATCCGGAAATCAGAAAACCGGAATACCAAAAAACCGGAACGAAATTCGATAAATTTTCTCGCCATTTAAAAAAAAAAAAAATTTCCTCATAAGATTTTACGATTTTTCTTTCTTTTTTAAAAAATGTTTACCTTACCATCATTTTGGAAATAATCATTAGTGTATTACTTCATCTTTTTTTCTTCTGTTTTAGATTATTTCCGCATATTTTTTATTTAGTTGGGTTTAACAATAAAAAAAAAACGGCTTTTTGTAGCGATTCAGAAAACCGGAAAAATCAGTTATCCGGAATAGCGATGGTCCCGACCGTTCCGGATAATCGGTTTCCTACTGCATAAAACAGTTAGCACATTTTAATGATTTAAAGTGGATCTCTCAGCAGGTTATAAGTGATTGCAATCAGTGTAACTGTTTAATCGCAATTTGAATGATCTTTTACGGGCGTCTAATGTTCGTTCAATAACAAATGTACGGTTTATCCAAAACGGAAGTGCTGTACATAACAAGGAATAAAAATTGAACAAAATGATTACATTATTCGAAATACTTTTTTTTTTAAATTCGATGGTATTCATTGTTGGGCGGGAATGGATTACTTGCATCATTTTTAAGGAATTTGAAATCATTTCAACAGAAACAAAGATTGGAAACTTTAAATTAGACTAGTGACCGAATCAGAATGAAAAATACTGAAATGAGGAAGAGATGCCTGTTTGTCAGCATATTTCGAGCCTGTTTGTCAGCATATTAATAAGCACTGCTAAAAATGATTGATTTCGGAAAGAAGAAAAAAACTGAAAAATCACGTGTCTGTTTAAACACGTGATTGGCTTTCAAAAGATAAACAACAGTCTGTCTATGGAAAGAACTCCTCACGCCATTCATCTCAAGCAGTGGCGGTGACTATGATTACAAGGTTTAATTATTTCAATAAGAGAATCGACTAGAAAAATGGAATTAAGGGAGAGAAGGAAATTCTCCTCTTTGAAATGCGCTTCTTGTTTCCATAGAAGTTCTATCTTGCTTCCATANATATAAAATTCAAATATTTATCAACCAGCAATAGATAAATTTAAGAAAGTTACAGCGTTATACGAAAATTAACGAACACAAGAAACTATACGAAACACAAGATAACAATTTTTTGTTGCATTTATGCAAATACTTTATCTTGACTAATGCGAGTGCGGGGATTTCAAATCTGAAATTAGTTTTGCTCCTGAAGTTGAAGATATTTTAAAGACATTTTTATCACATTTTCTGTTGAAATGTACAAGTTTAAAAAGGACTGTGACCTATTCAAAAGTTCAAAACGAAACAGTTCATAACAGGTAAGTACCCTTAGCGGCGTATAAAGATTCCTATGCAATTTTAATCTTGATGATGTGCCCTAGTTCTCTTAGAAGTTAGTCGCAACATTTACGTGCCCCTCTTTGTTACATAACGTTTTTAAACTTGTACATTTTGACAAAAATTGGAATAAATATATCATTAAAAAAAATGTAGCTTGGAGAGAGAGAGAAACCGATTGCAAATTTGAAATCGAAAATATCTTAGATCTGTTAAAAATATCTCACGCAACAGAAGGGGAAAAAAATGTTCCGAAACGGTCAATAAAAATTATTAAACAGTATATCCTCGAATATTTTGGTAAAATAAAATTTTGCATTTATTTAGCTTAATGAATCAATATTACAAACGAAAATCCTTGATTGATATGTAATTAAACCCATTAACAATTTTAAAAAAAAAAATTCAAATCGAGGAAATAAGAGATAGCCGGTGAAAGACACTAAACTCTGACCGTCCTTCAACCTCTTGAAATACCCCATCCATTTCTTTTGAGGATGGACAGAATCAAAACAAGAAAGTGGTCAGTGAAATCAACTTTCCAGTGGAGACATTTCGGTCAATGTCGACCAGTTTCTAGTCATTTACCTCCGCCCACCATTGATCCAATCTAACAATTTATTGTTGTTCTGCTACATTTTCTTTTCTTTTTTTTGAAATTGAAACAATTCTATGAGTCATTTAGCATTTGGTTTCATTACTGTTTTTTGGTAAATGGATTAGTAGCTAAATTTTCTACCAACGTTATGATTTTGCTAATAAGTATTTAATTTATCCATTCATACATTAAATTTTTCCGCTACAAACTTAATGAAATTTTTTTTATAAAGAATCAACTTTTTATTTAAATATTGGTTTCTCACCGATGAATTTGAAACCTGTTATATTCATTGATATTAACAATTGTAATTGGAAGACAATACATGTACATACTTTATGAGAAATATGATAGTCTTTTTTTTCCAAAATTCTCTTTTAGAAAAAATACCATACGTTTGGGAGTAGAGTATGGAGCATCATCGAAAATATTAGAGTAAAGAACAGGTTCAAATCACATATCTATATTGAATTTTTATACTGTTCTGAGACTTCGCTAACCCTTCCAGATTGGCACAAAAATATCCCCAAATAATAAAAATGTCTTGAATGTGATGCTAATTTCCCTTAGGCCACCGGTGGGTATGTTTTCCACCGTGTAAATCAAGTACAGGTTTTTTCCTAAATGACTTGCAAGCGAATTTAAGGGAAAATGTATCAAATAATCTACTAAAAGTTTTATCTAATTACTTTCCTTGGCTAAGAAAAACTCTCATATTTTTGCATAAATATTGATTTCTCTCATTTGTTACCAAGCAACGTCATTGTTTGAGAAGAAAATTTTCCCTCATTAACACTCATTAATCACAATGTATAAGAAAGAAATTCCCTTAAAATGGGTAGGATTCAGAATTGAAAGTTGACATAGTTCGATCGATTGATGCTTAAAATGAGTTGTTGAACTTACCCAAAGAAAGCTGGTAGTTTTCCAACGATTCCTTTGCTTATTTTTCCGAGAGATGGCAATTTGTAAGCTGTCTCATAAACAGCCCCGACGCCATCCTCTACGTTGCCGTTGAGTACCACCAACTGATTGTGTTGGTAGAAAGCTCTCCAATTTTCATCAGATATCGTTGGTAGTGGAGCTTGGTTGGAACTGACAACAACTGTGGGGGCATCATCGTCAGGTTCATCTTTCACTATTATCCTGTAATGAAAGTGATTATGGATGAGTTTCAAACCACAAATATTAAATAGACGGTAATCAAACAAATCTTTCTGAATAGTACTACTATTAGCTTTCAAAATAATCTGGAAAAAAATTGAATATAATTTGAATTTAAAAGTGAAAAAATCTCATATTCCGAAAATAGTGTCAATTCAGACAGATCATATTAAAATACTGTGTAAAAGGGGTTTTTTTTAATACGAATAAGATAATTTTTTTTCTCTTTTTAAATATTTAGCGCCAGTCAAAAATATTTTAAAAGTGACATTGCTCCTAACGTTTCTGGCATTAAATTTCTGCTAGTTTTTGAATAAATAAATAAGTGGTACTAATACTCGTTCTAAGCTTTATTATTTATAATGAGATTTTGAAAATAACAGTTAATAATTTAACAGTAAATAATTTTTGCAGTTAGTATTTGCCCCAAGAATAAGTTATATTGAGAAAAAAAATTGTTTAAAATAGTCTGGTACTTTTCTTATGAATAATATTTTTAAAGATCTGTATTAAGAGCATCAAGTTGAAAATTAATTATTACAGTTTGTATAACAGATAAAAATTTTAGTCCTGACACGCGCCGAGAAATTTTTTTTTTTCCAACAGAACTTTAAGTGACCCATTTCTTTCACGTGAAAAAATTTAGCATTCTGAATCTTCGTAAATCCTCTTTTAAAGAGTAAAAGTAATTGTGAGTATGAAGGACGGGTCACAACGCATTTTACATGCAGCTAAACGGAAAGTTGAAAAATATTTGAATACGCAGCGAATCCATACAAACAAATACATCCATTCAATGAACTCAAGATAAAAATGTCATTAAATATTAGAAATTTTCCAATAAATATTTGTTTTTATTTAAATCATTACTGCGAAGTCTCACCGTCAATAGAAATCGGAGAAAGTGATTTGAGATTTTAAATACACTTCCCTTCAAAGCTGGTTGCCAAATTGAAAATGTTAACACCTGTTCCTGTAAATAATTGTTTCCAACTAAATCACTAGTATGAAAAGTGTAATGAATTTACCACATAATTATTCCAAATTCAAAAACAAATGTATATGATTATAAGACAGACAAAAACAAGTCCTTAATGGCAACCAACCATCGTTTTGGCAGTTAGCAGCAAACAAAATGTAATGACACTTAATAGTTGTATACATTAACTCTCACATGACACTTCCAAAATGTAGAAGTATCAATGATGTAACCCTCTTCCCCCAATTAACTCTTTAACCACGAACTTTTGCCAGTAAACCGAAGCAAAAGCTATTTTGAATTAAATAACGCAATGAATAAGAAGAAAAATGGATTTGTCAATTTCTGGGTTACTACGATAGATTTAAGTTGGGAGTCACCAAAGGTCAAGAACAAATCGAGAAGCAGACATAAGGTGCGCCGGCCATATAGCGCTCAAAATGAATCATTGAGGAAATACACATTGCGTAGGCAGCAGAATAATTTAAGCCTTTCGAGGCACTAGAAAATCATTCACGGAAATTTTCTTGAAGCTGAAAAATAGAAATTTCTTTGCAAGTCAAAAGTTTCACCTCGTATTTCATAGGAAGACAAGTGTATGGCAATCCGATGAATTATTCATCGGAACTGTGTGAATCACTGTGAAGACGGATTCCGTGCCATAAAGTATCTCCGCCACCTACAATGGTTGAGTCAATGCTTGTATCTTTTTTTCAAAGTAAAGTGAGGCTTTGTTTACGACAGAACGACAATTCAGCAAATTGATTCAATTTGAGGAAAAAAAGTTCTTTGTCTTCTATATGTTTGGAGTTAGAAGAGCATCACTTGACCTTTTACGGAAAGTTATTTTTCCTTCTTCTGTGTTTGCGGCAAATGGAAAAAATTACCAAAGGAAATATTTACATCTCGCATAAAATGCATAAAAACGCATTCATAGGAATTAACAGTGAGCAAATTTGATAGTAATTCTTGTCACAAAAAAAAGATACCCGAATTTTTGAACTGTTGACGAAATCCGAAATCAAAAGTGCATGGCATTATTTATTTACAAAAATAGGTCTTACAAATAATACTTACATAGGTTGCACACGAGGCACGCGTAAGTGTTTTAAACTGCAAAACATAATAATTAAGTGTACCTAATATCTTCAATTTATAAAAGATATAAATTTTTTAATAATATCAATGTCCTGGAAAGAGATGCAATCTTTAGACAAACTCTTAATTTCTAATGATTACAAGCTCTTTCAAATTAACGTTTTCATAAATAGGGGATCATTTAAAATTCGGGCTGAGAAAAATGTACAGCCTGCCACGTCTTGCGTCTTATTTGATGCATAAATATAATTTTTTTTCAGCAAAAATTATGATGCTCATCCAGTCATAAGAAGTTACCGCCATTTTAATCAACTAAGGATTGTTACAAAAGCCTGACAACGTACACTTTACAAAATAAAGCGTTTTAAAATAGACTCATCACCAATTGTATTCACCAAAAACAGATCTAACTAAATGTTCATTCCAAACACTAAATAACCACTCTGTTTTCTGCGGGTGAATTTTTTTTTAAACCAGACTTTTTTGAAAATATAGTTATATGGTATCATTAAAAAATGATTCTAAAGAACACAAAGTTTTAACTTTCTAAAAAACATCAAAGGAATAGGAAGCCAATATCCATTGAAGAGAATCGAGAATTGTAGGATCGCATACTTTTTTTTTTTAATAGGCATTCATTGATTATCATCGATGACGTTGTTTATTTTTGGATTGTGAAATTATTTTACTTTCATAAATAGAGATATACGTTTTGATTTGATATACAATTTTACGCAGGTTGTAATATATTTTCATTGTGTCACTCTTTATGCTTAATAAATGTGTCTTTATTTAGTATCCACTATGCGATAAACAGTTAATACCCATTATTGCAGTATTATGTTAGTGGCAGATTAAACGACAATTTAATTTATGAAATGAACCAATACAACAATAAGCACTTTAACAGACTAACATATCTTGTGATGTGATAACAATTTTAATTGGACTGACGCATTTGACAGTATCTTATTGGCTAAGAGATCTTCAACGATTGCACACCCATAGCCTCCAAGCAAAAGTGTATATCTTGAAAACAAACCATTTTCTTGGGCCAGCGAACGACCAGTGTGTGGGAAAGAGTCTTCAAAGCGACCTTGACAAATACTACTCTCTTTTCCCCTCCTAATCACATTGCGTGCTGCTGGAGGGGACCAACACTCATTATTACTTCTGTAGAGGGTAATAAAAATTTGTTACGCTGCTCTACAGCATCGCTTCATTGTATTTAGAGGTGGCGCAACAGAGCGTGGACGAGCTCCCAATTGAAGACATAACATTGAGTGTGAGAGACCTTGGCGTCAAATATGTTTTGGTTGGTAGGTGACACAAATTAAAAGGTTAAAACAGATTCTTTGGCGATACTATCAGATTTTATATTCTGCCTGACCTTAAGAAGGAAATTTTTAATTGGACATCATGTTAAATTGTAGAAAATTTGTCATTTAAATTAGTTAGAAATGGAGAAACTTTTACTCTTACAACCATTGCGTGACTGTTTAATAGTCCAATCCTTCAATCATAAAAATGTTTCAAAGGACTCGGCATTTTCAATTCTTAGGGCTTTGGAATTACACTTCCCATATTGACGAATATTTTGGCGAACAACATAGGTGATAGTTTTTTATAATTAACCCTTTCGTCTCGATGGACGAGATAACTCGTCTTCAGGAATACTCGCTGTGCTCTATTATTGCATTAGTCAATAGGGTTATTGATTATTATTTTTTAAAAAAAAAAGTAAAATAAACAAGTCTTAAAGGAATTTATGTTTTATCTCAATTTTAGTGCAGCAGGAAACACTAAGTGCAGAGGATGGGACAAAAGGACGTCATCACCGCGAGGAAAGTGTTAGCATGGTTTTTCGAAAGTCTTTAACCAAAGAAAATAAAAATATAAAAACCAAACTTTAAGTGCCTTACACTTGAAGCAAACTTATAAATTTAAACTATGCATACTATATTGCCCTGAAGAATTATTCGGGCTTCAGGGCGGACATATTAAATATCTTAAAAGTTATTAAACTTTTTTTTAAAAATCTTCAATTCAGTAACATTTTTCCACCAGGATGAAAATTATCAAAATCATTGCCTTATGCAAACTTTCATGAGCCCAAATAACACAGCATTGATGTAAATTTGAAAATAATAAAAATTAGACCACAAACACTTTTTATTTTTACAAAACTGTGGCTTTTTACCATATTGACATTTCCTTTCAAAATAAGGATAGAGAGCCATTGCTATTTTGTTAAGAAAATAAGCATATTTTTTGCAAAGAAAAAAAAAAAAGAGGAAAGCATTTCATATGACCATAGAGCCTTCGAAAAATAATCTTTCAAATAATTAAGAGATGGGCTAAAGTTTTGAATTGACAGTTTAAACTTAATAAAATATTTTTTCCATTATTTGTCCGTAAAATAAGTCAATATAAAGATTTATTATTGAAATGCTTAAGGGCTAAGAGCTTCGCATACCAAGTCAAACAAGTGTGTATATATATTACAATTCTAGTTTAAATTTTCATGAAATAAAATGTTGGCTGAATTGTACTCTTTAGATTAATTGAAAAAATTCAACAAAGCACAGAGGCTTTCATGGCCAAATGTGACCAAACATTGAGAGATCACCTGACAACCGAGTGGTTAAGATCCTGTATTGGAAGCCCGTGCTCAAAAGGCCGATCAAAGAAAAGGTGGATGGATGATGTCCTGCATGATTTAAATACTATAAATATCTCCAACCGAAAGATCAAGGTCAGGGACAAAATGCAAGGCACACATAAAAATTCATATTGAATTTAAAAAAAGGGGGCACTTATAAATTAAACGCCCGCTGATTAAAGCAAAACTTCCTGAGATTCCCATCAGCTGTTTTGTGTCGAATCAAAGAAGAAGAGAAAAACC